AAAAAAAAAAAAAAAAAAAAAAAAAAAAAACGTTCACGGTTGTTTGTTCACCTGCACAATTTGACAATTAGTCGGAATTTATAGATGAAAGTTGAAATCGACAGAGGAAGGAGGACATTTTTTTACACACTATTTGCACTATTTGCCTCAGCGGTGCACAGAACTGGTTATAAATTCGACAAAGTACTAATATGAGTCGAAGGTACGGCACGAAGCAGTCGAGCACTCGAGCGAGCCACGGTGACCGCCTACTTCCACTGAATTTCTTTTGTAACTCGTGTCTCTGAAATTTTAAGAAGCCGCGACGTCCTTTGAATTTCCGTCCGTCCCGTACTTTCCGCGCTTCTTGGAAATGAAAGAGAGACCGCAGTGTATTAGACAAAATCTCGGGATAAACTCTTTCTCCTGTGAAACGATAAAAAGCCAGTCGCCAAAGATTTGTTTCGGTGACAATTAAGTTTCGTCACAACGACATTTCATGAACTCTGAAAATTACGAGAATTTCTCTACACAGACAAAATTATCATTTTTTCTCGTTCGATTATTATTCGATTATTGTTCGTTAAATAAATAACAACAAATGCATCGAAACGAAATGTTGAATTTAAATTCTGTTACCGTTACCGTTAAATAAATTTATCAGTCGAAGAATTATTTAACAAACATCCACGTATTATTTCATAGAAATAAAAGCATTTCAGTAGTCAATTATAAAAGAGATAAATATAATGACAAGAGAATTACACGTTTATTATTATTATATATATGTATATATAATTACACATTATGCATGAGTTTATAAGCATACAAACAAGTTATATGCAAGCAATAAAATATATTTATTCACAAAATTATTTGTAAATGTATTTCGGCCATCTTGGCTTTTTGTTATTATATCGTACTACAATACACTTTTGAAACAGTAGCTCAAAACAAAAGGAAAAGCGCGCATTTTTTAAGATAAATAATTCGTTTTTCAAAGTTTTCCTCAAGTTTTTAAGTCAACACTCGTTTCATTTTCTATGAAGAATCGACGATAACGAATTTAAATGTATACTTAAAGAATTTTCGAACGTACAAAATCAGAAGACAGGACGATTTTAGATATCCAACTGATGCTTATACGAGCCACCCTATATATAAATCATACACGAACTCCGAAATCGGATTCTATCCTTTGTTTTGATCGTTGTTCAAAACTTTTTCGGAAAACTTGTATCACCTGGCAAGTATATCATTGCGAGAAAGCATCACAGAGACATTCCTTTCGAAACTGCCAAAAATAACAGAACAACGAAGACCAACGACAACGCGATAGTTTGTGGTTATCCTGACACTCGATTATATGAATATTTCTATGTCAAAGTCCAATCTGAATAATATTGATACGCATGAAATTTGTAAATGGGAATCAACTCACCATGCACCAGGGTACTGCTACCACCTCGCAATTTCAATGCTTGTCAGAAACATGACCGGTGCCTAAACAAAGAATTCACGTGGAACGAACGCATACACACACCGACAATCTGTCAAACGAAGACGTTGGAAATTCACGAGATAGCAGGAAATACCTCACTACGTTAGTAGAACATTTATCCGAAATATCGCGGCACCGCGAGAATAATTTTTTAAACATAAAACAAACAACATCTACAGAACAGCCCTTTCGTTTTGCTAGTTAAACAACGAAAATCCCCAATCTGGGTTCGACGTCCTGCTGGCATTAACGTATTAACTGGCCAACAGAGAATACCTGTTGACTCATTTTAAAAAAACAAGATGGCGGACCCGAAGGCTGCATTACATGTTGTTTTGTTTTAGTTATACGACACTCAGTTCTCGTTAATTTGTAATGAAAAGTCCACAAAACACGCGTGGAAATATTTTTGTTAATTTTATGTTTACGGGAGAAGAAGCATCGATTAAGAAATATGTTGAGAATATTGTGAAATACTATTGACGTAACCTAACATGTAGTGTCAGTATAGATATCGATAGTGAACCGTCGTCGAGTTTACAATAAATTAAATATCATTTTTGTAATATCAGTGCGAACTATTATCTTTTGTTATTGCTAATATTAAATTGATAGAATGTAAATTGTGTGAAAAAAAAAGTAATGACTACGCGCGAAATTACAGACCTGCGCACAACTTCGACGTTCCGATCAGTTTGACAACAGTGTTTCTTTTAGTTAAACCTAACCTATCGCGCATTTTTTAAGTGAAATTGCTTTTTACTTTTTTTTTTTTTATTAAGAAAACATCGATATTGAACGTAAAAAAATGGCAGCACCAGAAGCGATACAAGTCAGTTCACTTCCTCTACCTCCGGTTCAATATATTAATTTATACACAGACGAAAATGTTCGCCGAGGCAGAGCACCACGACCACCACCGCCGATACACGATACTTATTCGATGTTTGGAAATGTATTTAACGCGGACGATACAATTATTCGGCCTCTCGAAGCACAAGGAATCAAAAGGTTATATCCTCAACATTTCGATCGACGAAGGGAGTTGAAAAAATTGAATCATTCATTGCTTGTTAACTTCTTGGATTTGATAGATTTGCTTGTACAATGTCCTGACAGTCCAAGACGTGCAGAAAAGGTAGGTGTTTAATGTATTGACATATAACGTAAGTATTTACTGTTTTTTTATTTTTAGGTGGAAGATCTTAGTCTATTATTTATCCACATTCACCACTTACTAAATGAATTTAGACCACATCAGGCCAGAGAAACACTAAGAGTAATGATGGAATTACAGCGTAGACAACGTATTGAAACAGCACTTAGGTTTCAAAAACATTTAGAAAAAGTACGATTTCCGAATTTTTTTATTTTATATATTTGATAGTATAATGCTTAATTGAGGTTCCCATATTTCTATAGGTTCAAGAAATTCTACAACATGCACTGCAAATGTTACCTGACACTTCAGAACTAGATTCTAAATTAGCAATAAATACAGATGCTATGGAATGTGTTGATAATTTAGGTTCTGAACAACAAATTCCAGATCCATGTAGCTCAAGTGATCGCATTATGTGCAAAACAATAGACGATATGATTGCAACAAATGGACTATATTAAATAAATTTCTTTTCTAATAGGACATTGTAAAAACTATTGTAATTATAACTGTACAATACATTCTAATGATAATGATTCTACAAATGTAGTTTATTTATTAAATAACAGAAAATAATATTTTATGCAATTTATTTGTTTTATTAATACTGTTTAAATCAATACCTTTAATTTCTCCAATAATATTCTAATAAACTCATTAAAATAATGTTTATATATTACATCTAACAAATTATAATAAATGGAAATATTTCTAGAATAATACAATGTACATTATTACATACAAGTAAAATTTATTTGATTGCGTGATTGACATGTTACAAAACATTTGTATTAAGTATTAATCAAAACATAAATATTCAGTAACTATAACTTTCTTACAAATATCTTTAATTAGCCATTCGATATTGGGCATAAAAAATACAACATATTATGCAATAGTATTATTTATTAAATTAAATGATAATATATTCATGAATTATAATTATTAGTTAATTATTACACAATTTTTATTCAATGGTGGATAGGAAAAGGACACAATGTTTTGAAACTCACCTTACAAAACAGCTACCATCAATATATAAATAAAAGACAATATACAACCATGCTTTGGGTCCTGGAAAAAAATATATTATAATCATTTCTTGTGAGTTTTCTCCTCGAACCTCCTACAACCTGTAATCAAAAAATGATTATATTTTTGTTCTGCTTTGCCACCCATTGTCAGCAATCATTGCATCATCTTATCTGCAAGATAATATTTATACAATAAATACATCTTTATTATTATGTAATCAAAGAAACTTTTTGATGTGCGAAATCGCCTTTTTCATTTGCATTATTCAATAAATAATTTTATAATTTTATGTTAATCTTTATATTATTTTCCTACATTGTACTTAATCATTTTAATAAGAGAACATTATCCATGTGATTGAAAAACAAAAAAACAGTTAGTAAATAAAAGATAAATTTATAAATACAAATAATTTATAATTTAGAAAAGCTGTCTTTAAAAGTTTCTTTGATTTCGTTATTCTCCCAAGATCAGACAGTCCGCTGGCGTCCCTTTGATTGCTATGATCTTGCACTTCCTGTTGACAGAAGAAAATAGATATAATCAAGAGAAAGGAATAGGAAGAACTAGGAGATAGGGAAATACATTTTGATACTATTTTAACGTCCAAAATTATCATGGCAAAACAAATTGCCTGTCTTTTGCAAATACGTATAACACAAGTATCCATGTCATAGCACAAACCAGTCATAGACAATATAGATTTGTAAACATTCTATATCAAATAGATGGAATTTTTTGTTGTGACATCTGGTATCTTTTCAATCATTTCAAATGATTCACGTATTGTGTCCTCACACTGTTTTCTCTTCATTATTTTATTTATATTATATTGTCTGTTAAGGTATCTGATTAAGTTTTGTACTAAACACTTCGTAAAATTTGTGATATTCTTCCCACTTTTTTTCCACATACTTGTTCACTTTTTCCAAACTCAGGTTTTCCAAATTGTATTTTCCAGTTTAATAACGTATATTAGAAAAGAGGTCAAGGCTTATAACACCATTAATACAATATTTCACACCAATGTTCTCTTCTTCAAATGTCAATATTTCATTATGACAATGATTACCACTGTGTTTAGCAAATAATTGATTCTTACAATTTTATATTTGAAGTATATGTACTTAAAGCTTTCACAAAAAACACTTTTTTTACACTAAGATTTATAAAACAAAAATTGTATTTTCTTTGTCACTTCTTTTAAAAAAGCACTTTCTGTAAATAATCACTTTTACATTCTTCATTTTTATATGTACATTTTACAGGCCTGATTTAGTCTTTTATATTATTGCAGCTTTTATTATTTCATCAGTTAATTTAAGCAGTTAGACAATTAGTAAAAATTTTTTCTCCATGTTCCACGACCTCTTGGTCTATAACCACCTCGACCACCTGATCTATTTCCTCTAAATCTACCTCGACCTGTAACCAAAAAAATATAAGCATAAATTGAATATTATTTTGATTAATGACATAATAAGATTAATTATGGTAATTTAATTACCATAATTTGATGATATGTTTGAACTGTATTTTCCACTAGGAGGAGTATACAATTCTCTTTTGCTCTTATCCTCTTTGCTTCGTTTATTTGAATTACTATCATTTCCAAATGTAATGGGTGTATGTCTTTTTTGGGTAGAAGAATGTTTTTCATTCTAAAATAAGACATAATACATGTATTCAACATGTCATCTTTAAAAGAAAGTTATAGCCGATTTATTTATATACCTTTTTATCATTAGCTGTTGTTTTCCAAGAAAGATGTATGACACTTTTAAAACTAGGTGGTGAATGAAACAAATCTTTAATTAAAGTATTAATATTATTCGTTGTTTTCAAAGCAACAACTTTTAATTGATTCTCCTCTGACTTCAATTCTTCTTCCGATTTTCCGCTAATTGCCTCGCGTAATTTTTTTATATAACCTTGAATACCACGTGCAAAATACTGTAATCTTAGTCTAAATTCCTTAAGCTGTTCTGGATCCTTCATTAAAAATTCTGGGGTTTGTTTACACAATTTGTGAAAAGCATACATGAGACATTCAACGTGACTAAATTGTAATTTTGGTACTTCTGTTATTTCTGTGACTGGAGGTAGTGGCATATATGTCTAAAAATATTGAAACAATATTAACATGTCCCATATATAAAATATATCTTTCTTCTAAATAATATTATTGCTTACAATGAGAGTATTATAAAGTTGTTGTACTTTTTCTTCTGGCTTATCAATTGTTCCACAAAATACAGCTAATTCGGCAAGAAGCTTTAATAATTCCAATTGTACATCTCTTCCATCAGGTGAAGTAATTAAAGAAAGATGCGGTAAAACTTGTATACAAATATAAGAAACAAATCGCGATGAATCTATTTGAGACTGTAAGAAATAGTTTATACCATTGTCAATTTTCATTAATAAACACAAAATGATATAAAAATGATTAAAGACTTACACTAAAGAATGGGAGTGCATGTTTAATACATTGTACAAGCCTGTTCCATTGTTCGACATTAGTATGCTTGAATGGTTCAGATAATTCAGCTTGTTCAACTGTAATATCTACTAATTCTTGCTGTCCACTAATTGTTGAACCTAATCTAGTCCATGCAAGAACTTCCATAATACTGTGGAATTCATCAGCAGTGACATCCTATAGGAGAGGAAGTGTTATAAGCAATAAATAAAACAAATATGTCTATTGTTATCATGAAAAGATCATACCTGCAACACTTTTTTGCATTCTGAAATTAAAAGATCTTCAGGTTCTTTAGTAATAACATCATGACCTATCGCTTTTAATTTTGTTGCTAGGAACTTAATGCAGCGTTCTCGTGTTCCATCATCACCATTGATTATTTGGCTAAAAAATCCACTTATTGTTCCTGAAGAAAAAAATATATTAATTACATTTAATGTGTCATTGCATTGTAATATATCTTTAATACATGTTGATCTATTTCAACTGACCTCTTGGATCAGTTTTCATAAGAGACATAACACTGTTATGAACTACAGCTAATTCAGATGGATCTTGAGCTTGAAGTAATTGAGCTAAAATGTCTGCAATTCTAGCCGTATGTTCTTTATTATCTTTACATAGTGCTGGCAAATCTTTAATTGCTTGTTTCCTTATCTGCAAAATAAATTATCAAATTTGCGTTATGTGCATACTTTATGAATATATAATAGTATACACATCAAATAATGTAAACAAAACATACAGCCATATCCTCATCTTCACACAGATCTAAATGAGCATCTATAGCTTGATCGGCCAATTTTGGAAAATATTTAAAAAACCTTGCAATAAATTGTGATGCTAATCGTTTCTCTTTAGGTGATCCTTTCACTGCTGTTAAAATTTCTAAGTATTCTTTTTCATGCTGCAATACGTAAACAAAAATATTTTAGGTTTAAAAATGTTTACCGCTTTTTTTTTTGCTTCATCATTTATATACAAATATTAAGTAAATTTTATGATATAAAAACATTATCTAATTCACTTGATGCTTGCAAATTATTTTTTTTTTCTAATAAAAGCAATAAAATGTCCATTTTATGTTTGTAAATGTATAAAATTGCGAAAACTAAAATTAAATAAACGTGGTTACTCAATATAACCAAATTCGTCAATTACCTCAGCCAATTTGTCTTTGGCATCAGCCAAAATGCCAAAATTTTTGTATAATTTTTCAATACTGTCCATACTCATGATAAAATTATTGTCGAATTTCCACATCTAAAGATACAGAACACATAAATACGATCAAATACTTAAAAATCAGTAATCTAGCCGGCCATACACCACGCCAGGAAAAGACAAAGATGGCAGCGATTCCATGTATATAGGTATAACTGAAATGTAAGGGAATAGATATTTATCGTAGCGCTGAAGTCGCAAATTAAATGATAAATATTATCAATATTATTGCTTCGATTAGATAATTCTTTATAAATTTGTGGAAATTGCTCTCATATGCTTTAAATATATATTATATGTATATATATGTGTATGTGTGTATATATAACATATATACATATATATCATAATACATATATATCATAAAATGCATTTCCATGAAAATGAAAATCCATGAAAAGATTTTATGACAACCTAAAATACAATGATTTAACCTAAATGAAAACAATTGGAATAAATAGATTTAAAATTAAATAGATTAAATAGATTTAAAATAAACAGTTATGACGTTAATAATTATAAAAAATTATATTTTTAGTAAACATTTTGTAGACATATATCTTTGTGTATATAAATGTTTGTTTTAAAAATATTGTATGAAATATTATTAAAATTTACAATTTTTCTGTAAGTTCAGGAACAGCATTAAATAAATCAGCAACTAAGCCATAATCAGCTACTTGGAAGATTGGTGCTTCTGGATCTTTATTAATTGCGACAATAGTCTTTGAGTCTTTCATACCAGCAAGGTGTTGAATTGCTCCAGAGATACCAACAGCAATATACAAATCCTGAAAGATATGAATTAAAATGTAAATAATTTTTTAGCAGTTATATAATAATATATATAATTAGAAATCAAGCTTACTGGAGCAACAATTTTTCCTGTTTGTCCCACTTGTAAATCATTAGGCACAAAACCAGCATCAACAGCAGCACGAGATGCACCAACTGCAGCATTAAGTTTATCTGCTAAACTATATAATAATTTGAAATTTTCACCAGACTTCATTCCTCTTCCTCCAGATATAACAACCTTTGCAGATGTTAATTCTGGTCTATCTGATTTAGATAACTCTTGCTTAATAAATTCTATTAACTGAGACTTGTAATCTCCAGCTGGTGCAGGTTCACACTTGGCAGTTCCTCCTTCCAAAGATGTTGCTTCAAATGCAGTACCTCTCACTGAAACTACTTTTACATTATCTTTACACTTCAATGTTTGAATTGCATTTCCTGCATAAATTGTACGGATGAATGTATCTGCTGCTTTAATACCAATAATGTCACTTACTGGAGATACATCTAATTTAGCTGCAATCTTAGAAAATAATGATATGAAACCATGAAAAATAGTTTATATTTATATGTATTTAATTATACTTATACTTACTCTTGGCAGTAGTGCTTTACCAAACGCAGTGGCACCTGTTAAAATATGACTAAATTTATGTTCATTTTGAAGGGCAAGAATAAGAGGTGTTAATGCTTCTGGAAGAAATCCTTTAAAAGCATCATTATCTGCTATTAAAACTTTGGATACACCATTAGCTTTACTAACACTTTCTGCAACTGCATTACAATTAGTACCAGCAACTAAGATTGTTATATCACCACCAATTTTTTTCGCTGCATTTAATGTATTACAAGTGATAGGTGATAATGATTCATTATTATGTTCTGCAATGACTAACGTAGATTCATAACGTGCCAATAACCCATACTGAAATAATAAATTAATTAAATATTAATATTTTTTAAAAAGAATAATTTATAGTATTGTTTTAAATATCTCATTTGTTTTTATTATGTTAACTTATAAAAATATGGAATTTTTTATAAAATTAATATCTTCATATTAATGTTTTTGTATTTTTTATGAATAAAAACTTTTTACATTTTGAAAAAATTTTAAGAAATATTATGCTTATACTCAAAATTAAATCCAAATTAATATAAAATAGATGAATATTGATCAATTGGTTAATGATTCAAACAAACGAACATCAAAAAGGTAGAAGCTTTTAATACTTACTTTATTTGCATTTCCAATTCGAAATGTTCTAAAGTAATTGGCAAACATCTTTTTACAAATATAATTTTTAAATAATTCGTTTCGTTTTGTTAACTAGATGAATGAATTCGTATCAACACAGTTCAAAGTTCCAAGAAAAAAATAATAATAAAAATATTTTAATAAAGATAAACACGTAATGATAAAAAAAAGTAAAATATGACGTAATGTAAATATTTCGAAATAACTCAATTAAAAATATTGAAATTATTATTAAAATTAAATAAATTGAATTTGATGCCTTACTTATTGAAATTAAAATCGCTGTATACAAATGTATTTTATTAAATAAACTTCATAATGTATTATGAAAAAATATAAATATATTTTAAATTAATGTTTATATTAAATTTTGAAGATAAAATGTTTTATGTAATAAATTATGATTGAATGACTATTGAAATGAATTGAAATGAATAATTTTAAAACTTATAAGTTTTTAAACTTATAAATTATATTTAAACTTATAAACTTTTAAACTGTATAAAGAAATAATATTATATCCTAAAATAGTACTATATTGATAAGTTTTTAAATGTTTATTATATATAAATATTATTTTTCTATACAATAAAGTCCCTATATTTAGTATTTATTTTATTATTGTTGGTGACTTTCATATAGCGACATCTGTATGATAGAAACCCTTTTCAGAAATACATAGGGAAGTGCGATCATTTCATTGATTGTAATTTGAGCAAAATGGTAAGATTTTGGTTATGTTACAAAATCTAAAGATTTGTTTGACATCCTAATAATTACATATAAATAATTGTTAGAAAATTTCATTTAAAATGTATATAAATTGTATAATCTATTTCAGTCGGCTCATAAAACGTTTATTATTAAGCGAAAGCTTGCCAAAAAATTGAAGCAAAACAGACCGATTCCACAGTGGGTCAGAATGCGTACTGGCAATACTATCAGGTATAAATTATAAATTATTATGTTACATATATACATATTAATATTCCTTTTTAATTATTGTACTACTATTATTATGATTCGTTTTACAGATATAACGCAAAACGGCGTCATTGGAGAAGAACCAAGTTGAAGTTGTAAAATATATTTGACATGTATTTGTCTTCTTTATTATTACACATTCATTACTTACTCTTAAATAAATTCTAACTTCAACACAAATTTGTTTGGAGAAATGATAAAACCTATTCTGAATCTTGATTAAAATAATAATTTGAAAAAACAGTGTAACAATTTGTATAACAGTGTATAATTATTTATTTAGATATAATTATATGCATGTATTACAGTGAATTATATATTTTGCGGTTACGCATTTCTTCTATCCATTCTTGCAACCATTCTTCGCCAGTTTTCGGTGCTGGTTGATAATAATGTTTTGGTGGTTTTCCTTCTTCTAAACGTACAAAGTAATGACAATATCTATAATGTACTATTCCAAATCTTCCTCTAGCATGACGTCGTAGTCCTTTATATACAAAAGCTTTTGTTGCAAGAGATTCAGCTAGAAAATATAATAAAAATCTTATTATTATAATATAAATGTCGAAAATATAATTAATATACTTACCAACCCATAAATTACTTTTGAATTCAATATTATGTTCCTCTACAGCCATGCGTTGTGCCTCTAAGATAGCATCTTTTGCTATTGCTGCACCTTTCTTTTTTAAAAAGCTCAATTGTTTAATAGCTTCATCTACACTCATGCCTCGAACAAAACAAGCGACATACCACATTTTTAATGGACTATATTTTATGTTCTTTTTTACATGACAGACATACTGTGAAATATTTAAATACAATGAATAATTATATTTTAATTAAAAAGGTACAATTATTTTATAATACAAAATAAACTTACACCTGGTCTTTTTGGTTCATCTGGCTTTTGTGGAGGAAAAATAACTTTATTATATTTAAGGAATCCTTTATCATCATCTTCGTCAGGCTCTTTAAACCAATTGAACGATCTTTGTTGTATACTAGGTAAACAATTTGAGTTATTTGTGTTAAATATTTTGTTTGATATAAATCGTTGTGCATACTGTCTTATGCCCAACATTTTCTATAAAAATTAGAAAATGTATATAAAATTAAGAATTAATTATTCAAATATTTAACATTAATTTATTGTAATATAAATTCAAATTAAGTTAACATAACCTCGCAGTTAAAATATCTAATATAAATGTCATTTAATAAATTAATAAAAAATATTACTTACAATTTACTTAAAATAGTTTAATTAAATATGTACATCTAACAATAATAATGTTCAATTAATGTTTTACTGTATAATATTAATTTACAGTAAATAAATTTCAGATATTGTATTGTGAAAACACATTGATTCAGAAGAAACTAGAGATGCTACTTTGACAGTAATGTTTTAACCTGATGTATACAGTCAGAATTTATTTTTTTCACAAATTCTTATTGTTATTGTTTTTTATGCAAATAAAAAATTATTCATCATAAAATAATTATTTTTTATCATATAAAAAAACAATTGTGTAATTCGCAAAAATGTAATATTAGATCTCAAAAAAACAATATTGAATGTGTTTTTATATTATTTCTTTTAATAAGTCGTTTTATGTTATTGATAACAAAATTCTTTTCTATTATAAAAATTTTAGTTATTTGATGGCAGTAACGTTCTGATTGGTTGGTTACAGAGTTAAATCACTCGTGAATATAAATAGTAATTAGAGTATCGTAAGTTATAAGTAGCGCTTGTAGTACGTGTCGTCGCTCATACGACACGTAGTAGAAAGCTCTGCTTTGTAGTGTGTTCATGACGCAACTTATTAAATTGCTATGGCGGAGAATTAGTGTGATTAAATTTATTTATTATTCTGCTCCGTCATTGTGTTTAAAATAAAGTTCAATTCGATCTTTGAGAAAAATCATGGATAGTAATAAGGATGAGGCCGAACGATGCATGGAACTTGCTGAACGATATTTGCGGGAAAAAAGATACGAGGAAGCGGAGAAATTTTTACGTAAAGCACAAAAACTTTATCCAACGAAAAAAGCAGAAGGTAAGAGGGAAAAAACGTCAGCTTCTATAAAATATCTTAATTAATTCTCGCTTGTACTTTACTTACACTTAACTTTGAAGTTTTTAATATTATCATTTTGGAAGACGTTCCTGTTGTATTCTCGATTTTTAAGATTTAAGTTACAGAGAAAAATGTAATTCTTTTAGACATTATTTTCATGTTTACATCAAATTCTTTAAGAAGTATAATTTCTATAACTACACGAAAGTAAAACTTTTCATTTGCATTCATTTTCATCATTGATTTTTACAGTTTGAGTTTTAACAAAAATAAAAAATGAAGTATGTGAATAAACAGAAAACTGAGAATTCAAATGAAATTTGTATGATTATGTGAAACAGAGAATATTTCCTTGCAATTTGTTATATATATTTACAGATGTCTTAGCAAAAGTGTCAAAACAAAATCAAAACCCTGAATCTGAACCTATAGTTAGAAAGCGTCGAATCACACCTAAAGAAACCACACATACTCAAGCTTGTAATGATTATACAAAGGAACAACTTGAACATATTAAAAGGTACTTATATTAAATAAAGTTTTAAAAATCACTAACAAAAATATTGAAATGCAATAAAAATTTTTTTTATTTTCAATCTACTGTAGTATAACATTTTTTGATATCATTAATCTTGTTGTAATTCATTTATTTGTAGAATTAAGAAATGCAAAGATTATTATGAAATTTTGGGTGTAAACAAAGATGCAACTGACAGTGATATTAAAAAGGCATATAAAAAATTAGCTCTTCAGTTACATCCAGATAAAAATAAAGCACCAGGTGCTGCTGAAGCCTTTAAAGGTAAATGTTAATTAATGTAAATTTATTATGAACTACTGCGACATGTATAATTTATATTGTATCAGCCATTGGAAATGCTGTTGCTATACTCACTGATGTGGAGAAAAGAAAGCAGTATGACATGTATGGTTCTGAGGAAGAAAGAATGCAAAGTACTCAAGCTCATCAAAATCATTCACATTATAATTATACAAGAGGATTTGAAAGTATTGCTATAATATATTTATTTTTGTGTTACAGTCTCCTTATACTATCAGTATAATATGTTTATTAAGACATACTGATTAATTAATTAATTTTTTGTAGCTGATATAACAGCAGAAGAATTATTTAGTATGTTCTTTGGAGGTGGATTCCCACAGCAAGAGTTTTATATGAGACGTCCTAGAAGATGGGCAAGACAACAGGACGCACAAGCTCAGCATGTTTACTCTCAGGTATCAAGGAAAAAATTACCGATATACTAAAAAATACTAATTTAAGTATAATTTCTTTTTCAATCAAATCATCTTTTAATAAATATTATGACTTTTAGCAAGCAAATGGATATACCACATTCCTTCAAATGTTGCCTGTGCTATTATTAATATTGTTAACTATGATGAGCAGTTTCTTTATATCAGATCCTGTATATAGCTTGCATTCTAACACGTAAGTGTATTTATAATTTATGACAAATACTTATAACAAGCAATGCCGAATAAATTAGTTTTAATTAATAATTTTATGGTATGTTTCAATTTCATTATTTATGCTTTATTTTTGGGGATCTTATCTCTGGTATCTTTTATATTTTAAACGAGAGCGATTGACTTATACAAACACGATTATATGCACATTTTAAATTTGTGTGCAGAAAATATTCTGTACCGAGAACAACTCAAGGATTAAAGGTGCCCTATTATGTGAAAGAAAACTTTCATACTGAATATCAAGGCAGTTTACGTAGATTAGAAATTTCTGTTGAAGAAGAGTACCTGAATAATTTGAGACATGCCTGTTTTAGAGAGAAAAGTTATAGTAAGTATTTTACCTAATTGATTGTTAAATATCTCAATACAGCAGACTACTTGTACCTCTTAGAAATAATAAAACTAAACTAATAGATTTAGAAGTAATAATTAATAGTCAAAGGGTACACTTTGGCTATATTGTTTCTTTAATCCTCAGGAGAAACAATGATGTGGAAAGCAAGAAACTTTGGAGATCAAGAACTATTTATCAAAGCTAAAAATATTGAAATGCCCTCATGCAAGAGGATACAAGAATTGCAAGGAACATAGCTATGTTATTGAATAGAATTTGTTGTAGATAGGTGTATATTGTATTTACATGTGTGTAGTTACTATTGGATGAAATGAAGAATATCAAGCATAATACATATGCAAATACATATTGTATATCTTTGCATCAAAATTTGTAAATGATATTCTTCTCGATCCATCATGAACTTTTACATAGACCATTTAAGCTGTTTATTCCAAATTGTAAATCAATACAGGATTGATTATAGTAGCGTGTATGACAAATTCTAATATACGATATAAATGTCATATTTAATTTAATTACTCTGCGATATTTCAAATTCATTAGACTGATTCATTGTAATTATATATTAATTTTCATACACAGAATTATTTCATACACAGAATTATTTAGTTCTAGAATTATTTATATTCCATTATTATAACACAAGAAGAAACAGCTGAGTGGTATTGTTAGTGGAAAACATTAATTTTGAAGATTTTGAAGTATTTACAATTATTTATAAAGACCGATAATATTTGATTGTTAATAGTCTATTTCAAATCTTGCCGTATTGTTTATTGGTAATAATAATAGAATCATTACATTGAAAGTTGCTCGATGTTGGTGATAAATGATGTCGATGATTTTGATAAACAATATTATTGCAATATTAAAACTGCTTATACATGAAAAGGATCTAGGTAACGAAAATTTAGAGAACTCGTTAAATTATATGAAAATGAAAAAATATAAATTATATAATGTATGCTAAGATTATTAATGTTAGGAGAAAATTAATAAAATTTAATATTAATGTTGCATGCATTTGTTTTAGACAAGAAAAAAAAAACATGAAAAAAAGGCAAAAATTAACTTTAATATTCAAGAAAGCACATCCAGTTTATAAGGCCTAAGTTATATTTGCGATAATACCGAAATTCATATGAACCATCTCATTTTTTGCATAAAGAAGCAATTCAATTCACAGTATTAAATCATGTTGACGATTATTATGATATAGAGAATTATTAATATTAAAAATTCCATTGATGCAATATTATATTGAGTACATTCCTTCTGTTATTATAAGAAATGCACTATACATTGCAAACAACCAAAGAGAACCCAGTAGTTGTGACATATTATTCGTACATTAATCTTTATTTGTAAAATTAATGTAATTCTAAAGACAAGAATACATTAGCAGCAATACATGAATTTATTGTCACTCATGATAAATTATAAAAAATGAGTTTGATTGAGCTGCAGTCATGGAACCACGCACGTTATCGCGTTGTAAATTTTTACACGGGCAGAAAACTGAAAAAGAAGGAATTTGTAACAAGCTAATCAAGTGGCCTTTTGTCATTTATAAATTATAATGTACACGGATAACAGGAGATAAATGACCAATATATTCGTCTTGAGGAAAAAATTTCTTTGTGTGAGTTGACAGTTTTTCAATATTAATTGTTACCTTTGTAAATGATCCAAAAATGACATTTACGCTAGTCAGTTCACCGAACTGCACATATCACGTTTGTTTTACGATTGATCAGCTCTTATAACGGTACTTATTAATGGCACTTATTTATCTGAATT